AGTATTTAAATTATGTATATTTGAGTATTTTAAATTTTAATCATAAATACTCAAAAGTTAAACAATCACAAGCCAACCATATTTCATCAAAAAAACAAAAAAAATTTAAAAAATTTTTTTTCAAAAAAATAAAAAAATTTTGAAATGTCACAAAAACACTATAATAAATTTAGCTTAATTACTTTGATACCAATCAATAATAAATTAAACTTTAGTAAAATAATTTATCTTTATTTTACATCAGCATTATTGATTATAAAGTATATTTAATAATTTTTTTAATAATAAAAAGTGATGAAATTTATTTTATTTATTATTAAAAAATGTCTTCTCAAAATCAACAAGAACAACAAAAAACCCAAGAATATAAAGATAATTCTTATTCATTTTCTTCTTTACACACAAGACCTCTAATTTTAAAACATTTAATTGAAGATATGAAAATTGAATTAATAAATATAGATGACAAAATGTTCAAACTAAAATAAATAAAACATTTCATCTTACTTTTAATAATAATATTATTTTTCTTTTACTAAATATATTTTTAAACAATTCATACAATGAATCAATCATCCTTCTTTATAATTTGAATATGTTAAAATTTCAAATTTATTAAATAAATCAATTACTTTTTTCTTATAATCAACAATTATTACATAATTATTGATATAATAGTAATCAAAAATTTCTTGATTTTGGTTTGTTAAATAATATTTAAAAAATTTATTAGCATTTTGAAATTGCATATTATAATCTGCAAATAATAATATATTTTGCTCAAAACATTGTTCATATATTTTTTCAAAATTATCATTTTCAAGTTTACTCATTACAACAGACATTTTTAGTTAATAAAAAAAATTTGAAAGTATTTAAATATTTATTTATAAAAAAAAATAATATATATAATAATAAAAATAATAATATAATTAATTATCTATTTTAATTTTTTTTGGTTTAATAATATTAGTTTCTGTATCTTTACATTTACCTGATTAATATTTTGGATAAATTTTAATCTTTTCTTGTAACTTTTTATATAAGACATTAATATTTTTAGAAATTATAATATTATCAGATAAATCTGCTTCCCAGTATTTGTTATAAACCCAGAAACTATTTTTTTATATTTTATATTACAAATTATGTCTCCCAAAACCCAATTCATATCAACTTAATGTTTTAGATATATACTATCATTATTTTTATTAAGTTTTCAAAATTATCATCATATACATAATTCTTAACTTCTTTAATATCTAAATCTTCTTCAAACTTAACATTAAATCTACTATCAATAAATAATTATATATCTCTAGGTTGATCTTTTTCAATAGTTTCGATTATAAATTTTACTTATCTATTATGAAAATCTCCTTTTAAGTTAATAATATAACTATGTGTAAATGATTTTGATTTTGAAAATCTTTTATGAATAGCTTTTTTCTTTTCAAAACTAATTTTTGGTTCTTTACTAAAAATACATGTTATGTAACTAAAAATATTATCAAAAGAATCTTGAGAGTGATCACATTAAATTTTGCCACTACATTTACAAAAGGTAGTTTTTTTCAACTAATTAAGCATCTGTTTTTCTCAGTTAATTTTAAGATGTCCTCAATATCCTATGAATTATATTTGAATTCTTGAATATATATACATTCTTGATTATAATATTCATTAATATATCAATTATCTTTAGCTTTGTCACAAATTTTTTGATCATACAATTCATCGAAGTTTAGTCAATGCTCGTACTAATTTTTTAGTTGTTTCTGATTTTTCAGTTCCTGAATTACTATAAAATAAAAATTTTTTTGAATAATGTTTTTTGTGATATATTAATTTAATAGTATTTTTTAATAATTCTTGATCCTTTGTTATTATTTTATGAGATGCTGGGTTATTATACCATAATAATAGTATTTGATCAGAATTCTGTATTGCTTAATAATAACTTATAGATTTATCATATAATTTTGTTTTTCTGTTAATATTATTAAGTTTAGCATTATTAATTTTATCAATAGTCTTATCTGAACTGCCAACTATAAATCGATGTTTTCTAAAAATAAATGGACCAGAATCTAATTCATCTAATTGTTCTGTTCTTCTTTCTTTACAACAATTGTTATTGTACAATTTACATTTACCTAATTTATCCAATTTAAAAAAATCACTTTAACAATATTTTCCTATATTTGGGTTATAATGAATTTTATATTATCCATATAGTTTTAATACATAATTTTCAGCAACTTGAGAAGTTCCATGTAACAAAACACCTGAAGGAAATGAAATTTTTTCATCTTTTAAAAGTTTTTTCACACTAGACATTGTAAGTTGATAACTAAATTATAAAAAGATATGAGCATGCAATCTTGCTTGCATCATTTGCTCAAATTTTGCAACACTTTTAGTCAATATATTTCCAAAACTATCATATTCTTCTTGTTTTCTAGGAAATGAATATTGACATTTGATTTCTTGTTCTTTACAATTTAAACAATTTATATCATTACAAAGTGCAAGTTTATAGCATTGAGTATATTTTTCTCCTTTACATCTCTAATGATTTTTTTTACAAAGTAAATATTTTGGTAATTCTTCTATTTGATCAAATTCTTGTTCATGTATTTTTCTTTCTTTTTCATCGATTCTGTTTTTCTTTAAACATTGATATTTTTCATTGCAATTAATACAATGAAATGTTGTTATCAGTGTAAAACAAAATTTATAACTTATTCCTATGTTAATTGTTTAAAAATATAAATTGAAATATTAAATTTATGTAAATAAAATTCTACTCAGTACCAATGTACAAAGTAAAAAATATTTTTATTAAAATCAATATCTGTTAATTATATAATATTTGAAATATATTTATTATCTTTTACAAGTGATTTTATATGTTTTTTTGATCATGACATTGTTACAATAAGATGAAAATTGATCTCAATAAATCAATATCAAAAAAATTATTATTTTTTATAGCAATAGTTCTGTTAAGAGAAATATAACAATAAATATTATTATTGATAGTTATTATAATGTATGATTGAACAATAATATTTCTCTCTATAAACAAGAATTGCAAATGTAATAATATATCTTCTAAGTCAAAATCACAATTTAAATATACAAGTTGCATATTCTTATACTGTAAGCAATATGTTAATAACATGTAAAATATATTTAATAATTATTTAAACAAAATAATTATATGGAATAGCTGGCTCAGAGAGCTTAGTATTCTGTTATGTATTTGTATACTCTCAAAACCAAAAAGTCAATTTTCTTTTCAAATACAAAGTACAGAAAACATTTAGAAAAATAGGTCTTTATATAGTTTTTTTTAATTAGTAAATTTGTAGATCAAAAATATGAAAATATATGTTTTTGCAATATATGAATAATCAATTACACACATAAGTGTAATGTAGAAAATACATAAACATCAAATGAATTTACATAGCACATCATTTATATAATAAACAATTTACAAAATCTTATTTTCTAAAATACAGTTTATTATTTTTATACAAAAATTTAGTATATTGATAGAATGAAATCTATTTTTTACTAATAATAAAAGTTTTAGATAATGTTGTGAACTTTTAGAATCTCTGTTTATACAACAAATGAAGTTGAATTTGAAAAGTTATAGCCTTTTTGTGAAGTGAACCAGCAATAAATAAAACTGTTTATCAACAGAAAATCACTTTCAGAAAGTCTTTTTTACTAGTTACTATATAAAATACTACTAATTAAAAATGTTGCTAGTATTATTTTATATTAGAATCTAGATTTTTATCAAAAATTAACAAAAACATGTACAGATATTTAGATTTTTCATTTGAAAAATGTATATATTTTTCTTCTTTATAAAAAAAGAAAGAAGATTTATATTCAGTTGAATACATTTGTCAAATGAAACAATTAATATGATATTAAGTAAGTTAGTAGTGATAATTCATAAGATTTTTTCTATAAAATTTGAAAGTAAAAGGATCAATATTTGTAGAATTGTCCTAATTTTTGATGAAATGTTTTTCTTCTTGTCTTTGCAGATCTTTTTTTAAAAAGGCTAGCAGTATAAAAATCGTATTTAACACAAAGTTTTAATAATAAAATAATAAACGTCGTTCTAAGAAACTAGCATTATTTTTAGCTTCTGCATATATTTACTTAAGACTATAAAAATAAGTTTCATAATAAATTTTTATAAATCTTGATTTTTCTTGAACAAATATTTAATATATATATCTTTTATTAAACTTATATTATATACAAAAATATTTTTTTACTTGTATAATAAAGATTAAAAACAAAATAAGAAATATGATTGGTTAAAAAAAACAATTAGTAAAGTTTCTTTCTAATTAATTAGTAACCAGCTTTACTAATTATTTTTTATTATATAAACTGTAGTTTGACAATTAGTCTAGTTGGTTACTAATTAAATCTACTAATTAACTATATAATAATTTAATTAGAAAGGAGATCAACTAAATGTTTTTTCATGAAAT